CCCCGGCCCCGCTTCGCGTCAGTCTGTGGAGCAGGGGCGGTAGCCCAAGGGCTAGGTCTGGGTGGCAGTCCTTCCAATTCCCGCCCAGAGGGAGACACCGCCCCTCTGAGGGCGGGCGCCGGAAGTAACATAGGGCCTGGCCTAGAGCCGGGAGTCTGAAGCTACTGGAGGAGGTCAGGCCCCGCGTAGACCCGGCGCCCTACAATCGGTGCTTCTGGCTTCCTCGGATCCTAGGGTCTTGGCGGCAGCCTCCCCACCCACTACTTCCAAGCACAGCCATGTCTGGTAACAGCAGTGCGGCCGCAGCGGTGGTGAGTCCTGAGCCAGTGAACCTCGCCATTTTGGTTTTCCGGACTAGCAGTGCAACGATTGGCCCCCAGGTTACCACCCTCTGTTGTCTATTGGTCGGAACGACTATCCGTCGTTTTTGTGTGTGTGTTCGTATATTTTTTAAAGGGCCAGTAGCTGGGTTACCCTTAGGAAGGTGAGAGGGAAATCAGGGGACAGGGTTAAGAGTGGAGGGATTGCCTTGAGCGAAGCCCCCATCCCTGCGGGAATCTGGGTGGGATTCAGCCAAGGCTGGCATCCATGGCTGAATGCAGAAGACGGGGTGCTATTCCCTGGGATCCTTTCACACGAGGCAGGGCCGAGGCGGGGTGTTCGACCACCTTGGGAAGATGTTCCACTGCGGATCCAGAAAGGAGAGCATACCCCCAAGTCTCTGAACTGCACACAACCATGTTGGAAATACTCCTCCACTTTTTCCGTTTTAGTGGTCCCCAGTCCCAGTCTACTCCAGTTTACTCTCAAAGTCCCCAGCTGAAACACACTACTGGGTTACTACCATGGGACTGGGGGCGCCCTTGGGTCTTCCTATTCCTAGCCTGCCAACCCGAGCTCTGGGCTTGTGCAGATGCAAACTACAGAGCCAGTGGAGGCCACTGTCAGCCTGAGATAAAGAGGTAGGGCAGCTGCTTATCTCTCCCTAACCAGCCTGCTGGTGAGATGAAGGATTCTTTGCCATTGCAGACATTCCTGAGCACTGCACTAGAAGTAGGAAGATCTGGATTCTAGCTCCTGCTGTCAGCCCATTATTAGCTAAGTGACCCTGGGCAAGTCACTTCACCCCTCAGAGTCAGGCTTTGCTTTCTGGGAGTATGGTCCCAGATGCCTGCCCTATCTACCTGATAGGTAGTTGTGAAGATGAAAAGTGACAGCTTTAGTATATACATGCTCAATAAATAATTTTTTAATGAAACAATTTGACTTGAATATGCTGTGTGGAATCAATGAAATTAAGAGATTGTTTGAACCTAGCAGTTTTGGAGACCTTAGACAACTCTGTGGGCTCCCTGTGGCCCAGAATTTTAGTGGCCATGTTTAGCATTCCAAGCCTAGCCTAATTTGCTCAGGGTTCCTCAGGGTTTATTTATTAGAGAAGTGATAGCAATGGAATAGACTAGAGTCTAAGAACAACCAGCTGTCACCTCTTCCTCAGATGCCTGCCTGCAAAAGAGCTCCTTGGGATGAAGATCCCAGAACAAGGAGAGTTGACAGTATCTACAGTGGCTGCTGTCACATCTAGAAAGAAATAGGACCTCAGACTGAAGACCCAGCTCTGCCTGCTTGGCACTGAACACCTTTGTCCAAGGTGCCCTAGCAGGAGGAAGAGTGCTTTGATTTCTTGGCTTGGTCTCTGACGTCCCAATATTTCCTTGTTGATGAAACCATTAAGCAGCTTAGCCCCTCTTAGTTTTATAGAACATCAAAGGCAGAAGATACTTGAGTTCAAACCTCTTCATTTTTTAGATGAACAAGTAAGTACTGATGGGATGATGTGCTCAAGGTCACCCAGCCAAGAGGCTGAGCAGGACTGTACATAAAATCTGTTGACCCTAGTCCTTTATGTATCATTCCAACCAGGTTAGGGAATCCATAGCGTGGCAGCTGTTGGGTAGCTCTTGGCATCTGGGTGGCATTGAAGCTTTCTTGAGTGCCTGCTCTGTTGTGAATGCTGAATTTGTCCTCAGTGACTCAGCATAAGTTCCCTATGTGGCCCCAGCTGTCTTGCCCCTGCCTGCTACAGGCTCCACCCTCTCTGTGGCCAGGCTGATGGGCCTTATCTCTTTACCCACCTGGCTATGTGCAGCACCCCCATTGCCTTGGCCAGGATGGGCTTCAGGGCTCACTGACCTGGTTATTGCAGCAACAGCAGGTCCTACTATCGCTTCCCTCTGCTTCTTTGGATCTGTGAGGAGGGCAGAAGGTACTGAGAAAAGTAAAGGGACGATTCTTGGAATATTTTCCTACTCTAAGGCTTAGCTGGCCACAGGCCAGGCACTGAGGTTCCTTTCTTCCAAGCCAGTGATTCTGGTTCTTGGACAAGGTGTTGAAGAACACAAGGAACAGAGGGGACTATGACTTGAGGACTTTTTTTGCAGGAAGAAAACAGCCCAAAGATGAGAGTGATTCGTGTGGGTACCCGCAAGAGCCAGGTGAGTGCAGGTACTGGAAGGAGGAGGTTTGTTGGAAGAGTCCTGTGCTCACAATATTACAAGTTGGGGGGCCCAGAGGGTTAGTTCCCAGCAGCTCAAGGATGGAGGAAATGTGGTGGCTGGGTGTTAAATTTCATGCATAATGGCAGATTGCATTCTGTGGAGAGATATTCCTTGGGCTATGGAAATTGTTGGGGTGCAGAGGATTCCTAGGCCAAAACTCTTCTCTCCTTCCTAAGTGGGCATTCAACCCCCTATCTGAATTCCAGTCCTTTCAGAATCACACTGACCCTATGAGGGTCTGAGCTCAGGGCAGTGGCCAGGGAAGGACAGGACTAATCCATATTTCTGCCCCCAGCTGGCTCGCATACAGACGGACAGTGTGGTGGCAATGCTGAAAGCCTTATACCCAGGCCTGCAGTTTGAAATCAGTGAGTTTTCTGGACAGGCATGAAAGCTAACAGAAAGCTCTTACCTTCTGAAAGGGAGAACAGAGCGTTTCTGTCTTTGCCCAGGACCAAAACCTGGTCTCACTGTCTTCGAGAATTCATGGCTGTCCCCAGTTTTGAGGGCCCTTTCCTCAACACCTCCAGCACTGACTACCTGGGCTAGCCTGGCATTTAACATCTTCTGCTTTGGGTCTTTTTATGAGGATGTCTGACTTTCTGCTAGAATATATATTCCCAGAGGGTGGGGGTTGGGGCTTATTTGCCTCTGTATCTACCTTGAATCTTAGCACAGTGCTGGGTTCAGTAGGTGCTCAATAAATACTTTTCAGTGAGTGCCTGATTGATTCTCTCTGCAGTTGCTATGTCCACCACAGGGGACAAGATTCTTGATACTGCACTCTCTAAGGTAACATTTCCACCCCCAATCCTTGTCCCCCTCCTCTCTCCTTCCCCCAAGAGATTCATTCTGAGGCTCTTTCTTGTCTGGCAGATTGGAGAGAAGAGCCTATTTACCAAGGAGCTAGAACATGCACTGGAGAAGAATGAGTAAGTGAAAGACATGAGAGAACATTCAAGATG